TTAGTAATAGAGAAAATAATTCGGGCTGGAAACGAGGACCTGCATGCAATGCATTGTTGAGAGAATTCCCTGAAGAATCCTTAGCTGACGCATCGAAGACCACTCTTAGTTTGGTTGTGTTGCTGTCTTCTTTGATAAAGAAATGATGAGGTATATAAAATATTGATTCCTTAATCAGTTCGTCGGAAGGAACCCTTTCCATATGACCTAGTTGAAGATATTCCGACATGAAAGTTGTGTACTGATGCTCAAGTTCATTATTCTTACTTAGTTTTCTTTCAATGTAGTTGAACCTTTTACTTGCTTGAGTAGCTGAGTCACCAAATTCTATAGAATGTTTGAAAGGTATTCTCACAATATAACGTCCAGATGGATCTCTAGCAACCGTTTTTTCGTAAAATGCTTCACAATCTGAATCATTCTTTGATTTCAGTTCAGCTTGAGGTAAAGATTCGAGCTCCCAGAATTTAGCCAATTGACAATCCAACGATGAGGTAAGATGACAGTTCACAAAGAAGTTTTCCTTATTGGAGTTTGAGAACACTCTTCCCGATAATAGCCAGCCTAGATGAGAATTGAGTGCAGCTGCAGTACACTTCTTCCCTAAAATTGGTTCTCCAATTAGCAAGTCAGCGTATAAGTCGGCTCCTAACAGAATGTCTATTGGACCAGTTGCATGAAATGTTGGATGTGCAAGCATTAGACCATGCAGGTGTGGCCAGTTGCATGAAGAAAATGTGAAATTCGGTAAATCACTTGTTATGCAGTCTACAATCAAGGCTTTACAGCAAAAAATTTTCTCATTAAAATGTGGAGAAAAGACCAAAGATACTTCAGATAAAGAAGACTTTACTAGCGTATTATTAATTCCTGAAATCGAATGATTTGTAACAGTCTTTGATAATTGCAGTCTTTTAACACAGGTTTTGCTCACTAGAGATTTCTGACTGCCGTTGTCAATCAGCGCTCGGCAATTAACGAAATGTCCCTTAGCCTTTTTAACCTTTATTAAAGCTGTTGATAATAAAGTATTACTATCTACACTATTAGAATTTAGACAAGTTGTGCTAAGTTGAATGTTTTCCCTCACTGTAGGAACATCTTCAGAATTGGCATTATCTAAATTTGAATTAGAATAGCAAACTGTATTGCTTACATTAGGTTCTTCAGAATTAGAATAAAATCTATGCAATGAAGTATGATGTTTTCTATGACATGCCTTACAGGTGCTAGTAAAACGGCATTTATTTGCCATATGAAATTTTCTTAAACAATTTATACACAGCCTTTTAGATTTAATTACCTTCCACCTGTCATCAACAGACATTTTATTATACATGGGACAGTTAACAACCGAATGATTTTCATTACAAATATTGCATAAATTTTCGGTTTTGTTTACAATCACATTATTTACAATAGCCTTGGCTTGCATTCTGTTTGATTTGAAATAATTTTTGCTTGTTGCTCAAGAAATTTAGCCAATTCTAAAAATGTTGGAATATCTTGATTAGTTAAAGATAATTCCCATCTTTGCTTTGTGCATCATCTAGTTTACCCAAAATAAAATATATTAAAATAACATCTACCATAGGATTAACTTCCAACTTTAAAGTTGAAAGAATTCGAATAACTTCATTACATGTATCTAAAATTTCAAATATCGAAGCCGCAGAATTAGATTTAATTGCCTTTAGATTAAATAGTTTTGAAATTTGAGCGAAAGCTAATTCACGTTTATTATCATATCTCGCAACAAGAGTCTGCCAAGCATGCTTATAATTTTCATCTGTGAGCGAAAATCCGGAAATAAGCTTGTGTGCAGTACCCTTTAAACTAGCAAACAAATATTGAAACTTTTGAAGTTCTGTTAGTTCTGGATTTTTATCTATGGAGCTCAAAAATAATTCTTTAAATGACATCCAATTATTGAAATCTCCATAGAAACTCGGTAACTCGAATTTGGGCAATTTTAAACAAGATTCAGTTAGTTTCAGTTTCGATTCATCCGGAGAAACGCCGCCATTATTAGTGTTGTTTACTTTTGATTTCAATTCGGACATTTCCCGAGCAATATTAATTCGCAACGTATCAATATTAGATGCCAAATCATCAAATTCTTTCATATTGCTTGCCTCTTCCTCATTCTTACAAGAAACTATAATTTCCGTATGAATCTCATTAAGCTCCACCCATATTTCGTTCATTTGAGCCGAAAAAACATCTAATTCCGCTCTTTTTATTTCCCCAGACACAAATTTCGGTTTCAGAATATTATTTATACGCATTACTTTACCTTTCAAAATACTACGTCTTTTCGTTAAAGTTTCCATTATAATTACAAAATGCAATATTTAAGATCAAAATATTTATCGACGGACCGAAAATAAGATTAAAAAAAAAACAATGTTAACTAGAGCAATATAAAATACTTTTATCTAGCTCTCTTAATTGAAATCGAAACTAAATTATAAACAATAGCTCAGATTTTTCACTCCGGTCTCGAAGGACCAAAAAATGGAATGAATCTTAAATAAATCATAAACTTATATAATGGAAAAATCATAAATTTAAATAGAATGTCATTAAAATGATAGAAACTAATACAATGTGGGAAAATGGCAATAATGACAACTTAGCACAACAAAGAATATTCAAAATCTTACCGGACATTTAATTTATTTCTTTGATTGATTTAACAGAGCATGATTTGTAGATAACATTGAAATATTTTTAATTGAATTATAAATAAGTAATTGAAATTTCAATGGCCATAATGCCAAAACATAAAATATTACTCATCTTACCAACATAATGAATAAATCTAAACTGAAACTGAAAAAAAAGGGAAGAAAAAAAAAAAATTAANGATTGATTTAACAGAGCATGATTTGTAGATAACATTGAAATATTTTTAATTGAATTATAAATGAGTAATTGAAATTTCAATGGCCATAATGCCAAAACATAAAATATTACTCATCTTACCAACATAATGAGTAAATCTAAACTGAAACTGAAAAAAAGGGAAGAAAAAAAAAATAAAAATCTTTCTTGATTAACAGTACCAGTGGCTCCATCTGTTATTGAAATTATAATTAAAAGTCAAAACAAATATATTCAATTATTTAACATTTAACGTACCAGATTGCATAACATTGAATGTGTGAATAACCAGTTTGAATTAGGAATCATGAAGTAAATATTTACAGGTGAAAGAAATTCGTAGGTTAACAAGGATTACTGTAGAGCTAACTTAGAAATAAAAAAAAAAATTTCTCAAATTTAACTCGTTGAAGGCATATAAAAATTCTTAATTGATTAAGTAATTAAGGCGTACCCAAACGCGATGGCCGCGTAGGCACAATTAAGCTAGTTTAACTGCTTGTACTTAACGATTTAAGTTGGATGCATGATATGCTATGAGTTATTTTGGCAAAAATTGTTGTACTCCCGCCCTTTAATCTATTTAGGATCGATATTTGGAGAAAGAAGCTCTACCCCTGGCCCGCAAATTCCAAGCGTACGCATACTGAAGAGTGCCCAAATAGATTAATAAGAGATGAAGTTTTCCGCATTGAGATCACGTCGGTGTTATCTTGGGTCGCTAGAGTAAGATTTGTTTCATATAAGATAACGTGAAAAGAGAATCTTGTGATCACATTTGAACTTGGTCCTGAAGGGATTAATATTCAAATAAGAGAAACATAATACATTTTCTTTTAGCGTTATTAAGGAAAATACTGTTGCGAAGATCAAATAGTTTGCGAAGCATAAAGGATATTGGAGCGATGATGGAATCACGGAATGTACTTGTAGAAAAATGCAAAAAATCTGCCAGAAAATGACTTTGATGCTTTTCATTTTCGTATTCTATATTTTTGTTTTCACATGAATAGAAAAAAGATATTAACTGGGCGTTTTCAATATTTCTTAAAAAACCTCTTTAAAAATCATCATCAAGTAGCGTCATATCTATATTATATATTTCTTATAGTTTCATCAATAATTAGAAGTTAACTGGTTCATCTAAGTTTTTATTTTCTTAACTACTTCTCTATAATCACTGTACTAAAACAAATCACTCTACTATTTATAAACAAACTTTAGAAAGTTCCAGGCAGATTTTTTTGGAAAATTTTATTAGCGGACATTTTCATTTATTTACATTAAGGAAATTCAAAGCTTAAAATCGGAATATATCAAGATGAAAGAATTATCTTATAGCTTACACTGAGAGATAAATTTAAGATTCATCATATATATGCAATTTTTCTACACACAATGTGGTTGATCGACGCAAATAACAGTCACAAAAAGGTTTTCTTCAAGTATCTTAGGTGATTTTCTATTTTTTTATCGTGGGTATTCTGGTTAAATACGTATACTAAACTAAACTCAGTGGCGCGACAGCCCATAAAGGGCCAAGGCCTACTGTGTCCATCTCACTTGACCTTGGGCTCTGGGGTGCAGGAGCAGATGTTCCGGTTAGGTGGTCAGCCCACCGCGGGTCCCCAGTGTTTATTTCCCAAGCATGTTTGGTACTCATTTATCACCCACTGAAGGGATGAAAGGCTGAGTCAACCTTGCACGGCCCGAGAATCGAACCCGTGACCTGTGGCATGGGAGCGCAAAGTGCTACCACTCAGTCACCGAACGTGATTAAATACGCATAGAGTGCAAAAAAACTTGGACCAATTTGAGAATAATCCCATGCAATTATAGTCTGTACTTATAAAATAGCATATATGAGGTCAGCCTTTCGAACCCTTGAGATTAAGTCCTAGAACATGAAGATCCGATCATAAGATCAACAGTTAAAAGGTGATTCATCTTTTCAGGGTGATTCATCTTTTTTAACGCACTGTGCAAAAAAGTGTGTCTCAATTTTTTTTTTTAATTTCTGCTTATATTTAATTGCGTTATATTTTTACACATTTGAATAATTTCTTATTATCCTCCTCCTACAGGTGGCTGAACGATAATTTGCATAATTTTTGAAAAATTCCACCAGAACTAAAGGGCACAAGTTTCAGAGAAAGTATGGAAAATGAAATTGTTCTGACGATTATAAATGAAGCTTATTAGAAACGATGTTTAAATATCTCACATCTTTTATATAAATGATTCAATCATTTAAGCAGTCAAAAGCAAATTAAAATTAGTAAATTCTTACAGACGTAAAGCGTACCAAGTTCGAAATTGAATCTATTTTTAAATTCTTTTTGCAATATTATCTTATTTTAAAACTTACACCAAATTCTTCTAAGTGACTTCTATGGCCTATTCCAGAGAGCATCAAAATATGAGGAGAATTAAATGCACCAGCGCAGATTATAACCTCTTTATTGGCATAGACTTCATGTTCTTGATCATTTATTTCAAACTTTACGCCATATGCTTCATTGTTTTCATCGATTAGTATCTGAAATTATTTTAAAGATTTTAGAATCATACTAATATACCAAATAAAAAAAGTTTCAATCTTGCTATCATACTTCTAGTTAAGTAAAAGTATAATAATGAATTGAAAATAAATAATTATCAAATATTTATTCAATTATCTAGATAATTTTGAATTCTCAACTTCTACTAGAGCCTTTCAATATAGAGGGTGTCCCAGAAATATTGGTATAAATTTTAAGGGGAGGTATATCCATCGTTGGAAACGTCATTGGAAAGTACTATTACTATAAGAAACAAAGAAACAAAGAGACACAGGACTGAGGTCATCTGAAATATTCATTGGTAAAAGATATTACACTTGCTGTGGTAAAACGTCACAAAAGGAGTTCAAAGTTTCCACCATTGCTAGCGATGCATGCACTGCACCGTAAGGCCATGGATTGACGGACTCATTAAAACACACCCGGATTTTGTTGGATATTCTTAGCAGCATAGACGATTCTTTCTACCAGATCTATTTCGGAATCTACAGGTGTCACATATAGAGCACTCTTCAGTGCACCCAGAAAGAAAAAATCCAAGCTGCTTAAATCAGGAGAGCGTGATGGCTAGGTAACCGGTCCTCCATCCCCAATCCATTTTGTGAACAATATAGAGGCTAACGGAGCCGTTTTCGACCATGTGTTGCTATGCAAATCTGAATACTTAAGATGTTCCTTATCTCGTCTGAAAGTTTGTCCGAATAATCCTACGATACCGAGCAGTGATGGCTCAGGGAATAGAGCATTCGCCTTCCAACGAGGTGAACTGGGTTCGAATCCCAGCAATAGCTGGTCGATACAAATTCCGCATCCGGCTTGCACTGACCACAGTGCTGACGTAAAATATTCTCAGTGGTAAAGATGTCATGGATTAAATTCCCCTTACAGTCAGGCTAACCGTGGGAGGTTTCTACCGCTCATTAATTTCAATGCGCTTCTGTTTTTGCTTTTAAATTCTTCGTTGAAATAAAGCAAAATACGGTCCTCCACTGTACATTAAAGCAAAATACGGTCCTCCACCGCTTATTAAATTGCTTTGATAAATTTCTGTATGAAACATTCGTTTCTAAAAACAGATTAAAAACGTTTTCTTTTAGCATTTTGTCCAAAGTCCTGCAGTGGACTGATCGTTAAGACGCCGTTCCCAGCAGATCACTGAAGTCAAGCATCACTGGCTGCGGTCTGTGTGCGGGTGAGTGACCACTTGGATTAGTCTACTTAGGGACCGAGGGTGTGAGGTATTGGTGCTCGTTAAACTGTTCTACCGTAAAGGGCTCGATTTCGCGTGCAGGTCATCGGGTTACCGCTCGACAGAGGATCAAAATTGTGATGGCATGTCTTCGGATCATCCTCAGGGATGTTTCCCAGACCGTCGCCAATAGCCCATTGTGCAGCTCTAGTGCGATGTAAATGAACAACAACAATAACAACAACAATTTAATCCAAAAATTGAAAATTTCAGAGAATTTGTAGTTTTGAATTCTGAAGCATACTATGTGTAACACGCATCGTATTCGGTGATAAATTTAGACAAGTTCATCTGAAATAAAATTATTGCTGGCCGGAATCATCTGTTGAAAGTGATTCAATGCAACTGGAATAACATTGGAATTAACCTTTTTAACTTATTCACTAATTTACAAGAATGCGACCCATTATAAATGAATGTACTTTTCTTAAGGGAAAATCCAAGAGAAAACTTAGTTCTGTATGCTTTGCTTGAACTAAAGTTTATATTAATGCTAGAAATTACTTTGCATTTCTATTAAAACAAAAAATAAATACAATAATAGTTTTTTTAAAGAAAAAACAATTCATGAGCGTTAGTGCTGACTGTCTTGTTTCCAGAAAATTTTTGCATCAAAATATACTCATTTTTAAAAATATCTTTACCTGACTTTAAAATACATAACTCTGAAGTAACATGTATTGTAAAAACTATTATTAGTAATAATAGTAAAAATGATGTCCTCAATTGAAGTATCACAAATCATAGGCTATTTTTTTTAAAAAATTATTTGCAAGAAGATTCTTGAATTCACTAATTTTCCAAATAACTGGTTCTTCAATTCACTAAATTCAGTGATTTGTTTCCTTTCTTCCTTAATTCTTTTTTTTTCTGTCACAATATTAATAATCATACATAGCAACTATGTCTTGAGAAGGGTTACCTTGTAGAATATATTAAATAAAGACAAATCAAATCAATAATCTTTTTTTGTATATAAGAATATATTTTTGAAAAGTTAAAATGTTACGGAAAAGAATTAATTTTCTCTATTCATTAATATCCCGTTTATATAGTTTACTTTACATTAATACTTTTCCATTTAATTTTACGGTGTCCCTTAATTAAATTGAATTAGCTAATTTTTACAGTTACTATCGAGTTTACGCTTCTTTTCACGATTTCACAATTCACGATTTCACACATTTTCGATTCAATAGTTATTTAGCGACAGGGTTTCAAATTCCTTCCGTATTGTAGGCTCATCTCATATTAACAGATTGAATAACATAACAAGTACTAAACGCAAAAATGTTAAGATGGGATAATGAAATATTATAATACAATGAAAATCACAGTAAATAATAGGTAATGTAATAAATATGCTGAACAATAACAGATAATCGATATAATAGTGTGATAGTCTGAATTTATAAAATGATTGAGTCTCCATTTAGAAGTGAAGACTTTTTTGCGAAACTAAATTAGATAACTTATCAATTTATTTTCCTTATAATGACACAGAAATTTCTGTCAGAATTACCTTAGTTACTAAAGCATCAATGATGATATCCAAATTTTCTCGATTTTCAGCTGGAATCAGAAATGCTTTCGACGCACTACAACGTCTTCCATGCCTGGTCGTTCCTTGTATCCTTGTAAATCCTTAAAATATTTACATGATATTCAGTTCAAATTAAACACAACGGCTTACGTAGTATGGCATAAGTACACTAAGAGGACGCTTTAGTTTGACCTAAATATTCCATTTGGGTACCTTTTTTCATTTAATACAGTTTATAATCTTCGTAGTATGAACTCTAAGAGGTGATAATAAGTCGTAAGTGCTGTCTCTGAAACGACTTAAAATAATATGAGATCAGTTGGTTGTAGATTTAGTTGTCAGTACTGTCCTTCAATTGCATCTAAAAAATACTCAATTACTCTGAAAAATACTCAATTACCGGTCCACAGATTAAATGGTACCGGGGTACCCGAGGAACCATTATTTCCATTTTATTTACAGTTGTGTATTTCTCTAGAGCTTGTACAACTTTCCATGGACGAAAGATTAACCGGGAGTTGAGAGATGCCGCCTAAAGCTGCACAAATACCACTCATGTAATTGTATTTCATTTCAAAGGCATGTTTAAATACAATTCAATTAATATTAAATAAAAACAATTTAAAATATAAATAATTAACGTCTCTCTCTCCCCTCAGTGGAAAACGGTAAAAATATCAAACGTTGACCAGCCCGCGGTGATAAAAAGTTTGGGGCTATATAGTATAGTTGTTACTGTGAATGACTGAAATTGGTATTAGTTAATTTCCACCTGTAAATTTGGAAAATCACATAGCCGCTTTGGTAAATGACCGAGATATATACTAGTTCTAGTTGAGGGCTACTGCCCGATATGCCCTACATCAATGTTTCTTTTAATGTTTAGTGTCAATGCCCAGTATGCCCTATATCAATGTTTTTTTAAGATCAAGTGCCACTGCCCAGTATGCATTTAACCGGTACTTTGAACACTGATGTTTCTCCTAATCTATTTCACAACAGATATCGAATAAATATAATAATATCAACTTATAAATTAATATCAAATCGGATATAACAAATATTTCGGACATTCACCAAAGCGACTATGTGATTGTTGACATTCAAAAAAACTGTTGGTAAAATTTGGCATTCTCTTGATTTCGGCCATTCACAGTAAGAAACGAAATCTTAAAACAATCATTCACAACATTAGGAGCACTGCTGGTTGCATTATTCTATTGGAAGTACCTCCGAGATAAGGGAAAATCAATAGTGCTACAGGATGTACAATGGGCAAAAAAGTGAACATCTAAATAACTTTTGATCTAATAAGTGGGTATTCATGAACTAGGACTTAATCTTTATGGTTCGATGGCCTAACCTTAAATAGTCTGATTAGAGCAGATGATATTTTAATATAACAAATCAGAGAAGAAAATTACCTTTTTTGAATAGCTTAACTTCTTCGTTAAATGATTTGGATTCTAGACCCTCAAAATAGTATCAATCTCGCTATTAACTTCCTTGTTAATGAATTTGGACACTTAACCCTAAAAATAGTCTCAATCTTAATCTTGAAAGTATGGACCCAATAGTTTAGTTTAGAGGCGAAATTTATGGCTCTTTAATAATGATAAACTTCACTTTTGAATATCTCGCCAGCTCAAATCAATCATGTTTTTAAATTTTTATTTCTTAAGAGTGAGCCCTCTAAGTAATTTTTTTTTGAATTTTAAATTTTTTCTTTTAAAATTTTGTTGATTAAAGTGGTGAAAAAAATTTGCATGCCTTACAGTTCAAGATTTTTTTTTGTCTGCAAGTTAATTAAATAAAAAAATTAAAAAAATCAATTTCACAAAACTATTTTTTACGGGAAATTATTTTTTGACAAATATATGTTATAAATGTGTGTAAATATTTTTATCCGCTTTGTTAGTTTCGGAGATATGGTGAATACATAAAAATTGAACAAAAAACATTAAAAAAAATCACATTTTCCAGCACTCTCCTGCCTGCACTATCCGGATCGTATTTTTTTGATTTCGGCTATTTCCTATGTTTTGTTTGTATAAAATCCAAATACGCTAAAAACCAGTGACTTTTTTCTGATAAAATAAGTTTTTGCGTCTGATTTCATAATTTAAAATATCGTCTGCTGCAGTAGTTAAACAACACACTTATGGTGAGGCCCCAGGATCTTTAATATTGAGTGATTTTATGGGAAAACTTGAACATTAGATGAAAAGGTATTCAGTTGGTTTGTTGTTTTTATGTTCCTCACTGTACACACACATTGTAAGAAACGTTGTTTATGCATGATGCTTATTTACATAAGAACACGATAGATAAGAGATATTTAGATAAGAGATAGGAACATGATAATAAAATTAACTAGTGGTAGCATTGTGATGCAATAGTGTATGTGTATAAGACTATGAGAAGCTTGTTGTAAAGTGACAGCTCAGTGAGTATACAATACCAGCATAATCATTTTTAAAAGTATCAACAACAAAAATTACCAGATAAGTGAAAATAAATATTAAATAAGTAACTAGTATATATAGGGTGTAAAAAAGTATTTAAACGATCAATACAACGGAATTAAAAGTAAAACTAGACACATTTTATATTTTTAAAATGCAATCCAAACATACCAAACTCAGTCCTACGCCCGTGGGGATGGAGCGGGGGCACATTTCAAACATTAAATATGTATTCTTATTTTTTTATTGCAGATTTGGTTTCCCCAGAAAAAATAACCTTATTTGAGTTATAGGTTTTGCTTTGTCATTTTACTTCACAGATGGCGCTTTAACTGAGAAAATTAAGATAGGGGACAAACTGTCTTAAAACTCAGACCTATCAGATTGAAGAAAAAAATAAATAAAAATAAAAATATTTTGGTATTTTTTTCGATAAAAAAATAAGTCGATAAAATTTTTTTAAACGTGTTTGTTTTTATTATTTTAATCTGACGGGTCTCGGGATTCACCAAAGTGAAACCGATTTCATTTTTCTCGGTTACAGCGCCACCTGTGAAGCAAAATATATAAACCTGCAACTCAAGTGGGGCTACTTTTTCCTAGAAAATCGGAATTTGCAATAAAAAAAATAGGGGTTCGCTTTTAAGATTTCAAGACTGCCACCCCCGCACAACCCTCAAAGGGTGGAAGGAAAATATCAAGTTTGGTACTATTGGATATTTGTAAAAAAATATTGAATGGATTTATTTTCACTTTTTTGATCCGATGCATATTTCTGGAGATATTTGACCGTTTTCAAACTTTCTTTACACCCTGTATATTACTGGAGTATACAATACCAGTGTGATATGCTCCGTTTGTGTCTCGATATTTGTATCCCATTTCTGGAGCTGCATCGGCAAATGCATTAATTATTACGCTTTCGTATTGAGCAGTTTGAACAGTTAAATATCCGTTTGCACCATGATAACCTGAAATTTCACAGTTGTCATTAATTGCCCTTGCAAAATAAATCAAAGTATAAATAAGTTATAAATTACGTATTTTTAAAAGGTATAAACCAAGTTGTTATTTAAATACGTCGTTAGGTTGAAAAGGGTGCATGTATTTATTAAACAACCTAAGGTGTTTCATTTAACACTTCAGGTTATTATAAATCTACATCTATTATAATCTTTATGTTCGACCACAGGTAATTATTTGCCAACCTCAGGTATCTAATTTTATGCTTGTTAAGGTATTTATTTATCAACCTATGATGCGTCGTTTTACACTTCAAGTTATTCCAAATCTACCTCAGGTGTATTTTTTAACAGTTGGAAAGATAATATTTTATTATCGAGAGGTGTATTGTGTTCGACCTCAGGTAATTATTTTTCAACCTCAAGAATAGATTTTTATGCTTGTAGAGGTATTTATTTATAAGCCAATTATTAGCCGTTTTACACTTCATGTTATTATAAATCAACCTTATGTGTATTTTTCTACCTTTGTGGACAGCTTGATTTTTATGAACGTGAGGTGTTCGATGTTCTACTTTAAGTTATTATTTTTCAAATTCAGGTATAGATTTATATAGTTGTCGAGGTATTTATTTATCTATACCTAATGTATGCCATTTTACACTTCTGATTATTATAAATCAACCTCAAGCATATTTTTTACACTTGGAAAGGTTATTTTTTATTAACGTGAGGTTATTACTTCGTTATAGTATATATTTTTGCATTTTTAGAAGTATTAATTTATTAAGATAAAATGTTACATTTTTCACTTCAGGCTTGTATAGCACAACCAAAAACAGTTTTTTTAATACTTACGAAGGTAATAATTCCCAAACGTGAGGCGTTATACGGTACACCTAGTTTATTAATTTTTAACCTCACTATTACATAAAGATATTATTTATAGTATATGAAGAATAATGTATATCATTACATTTTTTCACTAGTAGAGATCTTTATTCATTAACCTGAAGTTTTTAATATTAAACCTTCAGCAGTAATTGCTTCTTTTGTTAAGCTAGAAAAGAAAGTTTCAAATACATAATTCTTCTGTAATTTTTGCAGATTGAATTAAATTATCTTGAAAGGACACTTATCTAAATTCTACACTTAAAAAGAATTAGTTGTGGGAATTCATATATTTAGAAGATAGTTGTCTAAGGTGCTTGAATTTTTAAAGCTATAAAACTGCAAATTTAAATAATTAGTCAGCTGCAATTCAAATTACTTTTATTTAAAACAAAAATTTCAGTTTTTTTACAAACCAATAAAATTATTTTAAATATGGATTCCGTCTACCTGTTGAAACTTGGAAGTTTTGGAACCTAAAAGAAAAAAATATTAATCAGTAAGAAAGTCATGTTTACAATAATAGTGGCAGGTTTTAAAATATTAGAAATTGTTTTCTCATGGTTTAAATTAACTGGAAGAAATTAATTTTCCTTTTCAGATAAATGGCATTCCACTTCTGCGATTTCTATTCAATCTTCGTAGCTAAAAACCGTGACAGGTACCACAGCCACAAAATACAATACACTGAAGAAAGTACTACCATTAACACTATTTACAGAAATTTAAATATATAATTAATTCCAATCTTATTGCGAAATTTTAAAGCTTTTTTATTTTCCTATACATCTGATATCCTTATGGTACTTGTAGGTTTGATAATTACATTTTCTTTCCTTTTTTCTTGCGAATCTTTAACCTCAATGAACCTAGTATATATTTTTTAGCTTTTTGTCAAACTTCATGAAACTAATAGTTTTTTTTGTAAATTTTTGACGCTGATTCTGAAAAGGACTTCCGTTATTGTGAATCACTTTAGAGTTTCTTAAAAAATAGTTCTTTTAATATTTTTCAATCAATGTTATCAAGAATTAACAATCGTTTAACAAATTAAAATTCTAAAAATATGTACCAATTTATGCATTTTTTACACTCAATAGAATAAAGCTAATCGCAAGCTGATAAGGAGTATTTGTTTTAAAGTTGTGAGCAATTTATGTGAGGAAAATGTCTAAGAGAGAACGATTTGAAATACTACTTTTAAAAGAAGAGTTTAAAAATTGAAGCATATTTTATTAAAAGTGATAAAACTAAATTAATAAATGTCAAACGCACTTACCGAATTTCGCATAGACTTTCGATTGCCAACACACACGCCATTCGTCGGCCAGCACGGAACTCTGGGAAGTGAGCTAGTTAATATGAAGTGTACTTTAAACAACCTCAAAATAAGCTCAGGTATAAATAAGATGTGTGTGTGACTTCATACACCTTAATAAATACCTGACTATCTTTAGTTAAAATAACGTGAAATTTTTATACCTCATACCTCTTTTGTTATAAGTGTCAGAAAAACAACCTTGTATACCTTAGAATTCGCCTCATCAGTTTGGTTGATATAAAGTGAACTTAAAAGAACCTCAAAATGAGCTTAGGTATATATAAAATGTGTGTGACCTCAATAAATCTCAATAAATACCTCACTAAATACCTCACTAAATACCTCACTTTCTCCTGGCTGAAATAAGGTATATTTTTATACCTCGTAAATACCTCACTCTCGTTGAAATAAGGTAAATTTTTATGCCTCATAAATATCTTTTTTGTTATAAGTATAGGCATCAGGAAAAACGACCCGTATATCTTGAAAATCACCTCATCGGCCTAGCTGATTTGAAGTGAATATTAAACGACCTCAAAATGAGCTGAAGTGTATGCAAAACAACCTCGTACATCTCAATTACAACCTTTACGAGGTATAATTTTTATGGTTTTCTCAGCAAACTCAAATATACCTCATATATACCTCAAAACAAACTCATATATGCCTCAAAAACACCTCAAAACAACCTCAAATATGCCTTAAATTTTCGTAAAGGTGAGAATGTAAAATTAGATAATGCGGTTATTTTAATAGCATTGCATTTATTTTGAAGATAATGTTACATTTAGTTACTATAAAGTTCTGTTATAGCTTGGTAAATATGAGTTTTGATATTATATTTAAATTAAAAAAACCTGGGGAGAATGATAGAATGATCTCTCTCTCTCTCCATATAT